TATATATAACAAAAATGAATTCCATATACAATTCTAAATTAAATACCACTGTTAATATGCAGTCAAGAGATCATTTACAGAGAATGTAAGAATATAGAGCTGCCCTGCCACAATTTTAACATTTTGCAAATATGTTAAACAGCACTGTGCGAAACTCTCTAAAAGCATTGCGTAACTTTTTAATGCACCAATGCGGCAAAGCCTTTCAACTTCACACCTATCTCCATCAAAATTGTGACTCAACAGTTAAAGAGCTGATAAAAAAGCAGCCTCGAAATCGGTTTTATGAACTTGTCCCCATTGAAAGTAGGCGAAAAGTTTGTAAAGCCATTGTATTCACTAGCTAGAGCTAGAGCATTCAAGCTTCGGTTATTCTGTTTGCTAATCGTTGCGCTCAAGTATGCTCCACTAGATAATAATAATGGCACAAAGGAGGGACACAGCAAGTGCCACGAATGGCTGCGCTCTACACGGTGACTGTTAATAAGGCTTGAATATCCAGCTACTGTCGCGTCAATAAAAATTTGCCACAGACTGTCCTGCGAATATGTGTGTGTGTGTGTGTGTGTGTGTGTCTGTCCCAACTGGCTTATTATATCACTGTCTCGCTTGCGCTCAAACTCAGTGTGTGTCTTCCTCCTCCTCTTTCGTTTTGGGTTTTCTGTTGTTGCCTTTTGCCAACTCATTTGATTTGGCTTCGTTTATATTGATATGTGCCAGCCTGGTCGCCTCAGTCTCTGCCTCTGGCTTCTTCTCTCTCCTCTCTCGTTCTCCCTCTCTCCCTATCGTTCACTCCCACCCGTTGCGTGTATTTTTATGGCATACTTTTCGGCGCGTTCGTGTGTAAATATGTGCAAATTCGCCAAATTCGTTACATATTTTGCTCTGGCACATCATTCCGGGCAGCTTTGGGTGTGATTGTTTAGTGGATTTATGGGCACATGAAATTAGGATTTAATGTGCATATGTCTTGTGCGTTGAGTGGATTTATTGCACATCCTCATGCACACAGTCCCCCTCTCCGCTCACTCTTCACTCTGCCCCTCTGTGCTTAGCATAATGCTTATGATATATGCGAATAAAGCAAATCGTTTTTAAGCTAACCCAAGGGTGTGCCTATTTGTTGTGGTTCTTTGTGCTCATCCTATGAGTAAACTCAGTTTATGTGTAGGTGTATATGTGTGTGTGTGTACGTTATGTGTGAGTGTGTGTATTGTGAAGTGGCTTAACTGCTAAGTCTTTCAAAGTAAATAGCAAAGCATTTGGGTTAAGCTTTGCGAGGCCTGGTCTTACTTTTTTTTGTTTTTTTTTTTTTCTTTTTGAGGGGCATATTGGTAAGTGTAATCTTGTCTATCACTAGAGCACATTATGTCGATAATAACGTGTTGGGATTAATCTGGATTAAAGTAATGTAAAGGCAATGTAATAAAAATTATATGTATGTATACAAATTGTACCATACCAATTTTATGCTCTTCCTTCTCAATTATTCTTACGGAAGAAAATATATACATATATTAAAATATATATTTTTTGGAATATAAAACATTAATAAAAAGAATTTATTTAATTAAAAATAGATTCAAATTATATTCGCAGCAGAAAATTTAGAATTCGCCAAAAATGTAAACTGCCAAAAAATTAAAGTAATATTAGCTAAAAAACTTTTCAAATATAATTTATGTTAAATTAATTTTGTATTCAGTTAATTAATAAACACACTGAATGCATTTGACGTATTCAGCAAAATATTTAATCAGGAATATTCATATTCCAGAAAATAATTTAAGTTAAATTTAATTCTATTCATTTCATTGCAAGAATTTTATTTATTCAACCAAATACATGAATATTTCAGTATATATACGAATATTTCATAAAGCAGAGAAGACTCCTTATCAAGCTTCGTTTTAAACTCTGTGAATGAAACGCTTTATAATATATATATATTCATATACATTCATTAAAATTAATATTAATTACTTTGAGCTAATTGAGATATGGGACAAGCTCAGCAAAGTAGATTTTAGTCAATTAATTAACTATAACAATTTTGAAAAATAGTAAATGCATTTAAATTTGTTGGATGGAGACTCTTCTCTATCCGAGTTGCTGGAAGTTATCTATGTTTGAAATATAGAAATAATAAAATGCCGCGCTTGTGTGCTTTCGTAGCAAAGGTTTATTTGTGACTAACTTACTTAGAGGTGGTACCTATCAGCTAGATATGGTACACACGTTTATCGATATATCGTGTCGCATTGTAACAGATGATATTCATTAACACCCTTCCTCAATGCGATCATGATTACAAATTCAGTTTACATAATCCATTTCAAATTAACTTAACATTTAACATAATTCATTTCAAACTTAACATTTCAGTAAGTTTAACATGCTTGTTCTTACAAAGATTCTTTGTCATGATATCCGCAATCATATCTGTTGTACAAGCATACTTTAAGTTAATTTGACCCTCGTCAACTACTTGACGTACAAAATGATACCTAATATCAATATGCTT